CTTCAAGTTGGTGTCATGTATTTTGTCCTGGGGTGAGAAAATAACTAATATGTCATCTAGACAAGCAGAGTGGTAAGCCCATAGTTTATAAGACAAAGCAAACTCTAAGGTGTGGTGTGACTGCCGCCAGGTCCTGTCTTCTCTACCTCTTTTCGCTGGCCTTGTTTCACAATTTCATACCTTATGCATAGTTCTGTGCTGGTTTTGGGCCCAGAAACTTTGTTAGAGAGACAGAGAATATAGGAGGCAGTAAGAGGGTCCCTCATTGGTTTGGAATGAAGCCCTGAACTGACTCAAACCCTCACTTTTATTGAGGAACACCAAAGGTTTTGCTGAACGCAGATCTTTGTTTTAGGTAGCAAGGGAAGCAAGCAGATCATTGTGACCATTTGGCTGAATAAATGACTTTCATCTGATTGTTCCACAGGGAGCCACCCTATTTATAAGTTCTATCTCTGCTTGAATTGATAAAACATTTCTCCTTCAAGACATTTTGGCTGTTCAGGGTCAGCGTTATTCCAGCTCTCCAGTCAAATCAAACAGACATTAACCCTTCGATGTCACAGAGAACTCCACAATTCTGTCAACTCCAAGTGTTTGTTACAGTGTGTGAAAGGTGTCATAAACACTAAAGTATTAAGGACTCCAGTAGAAACAAAAACTCCACTAACACCATGTTTAAGTACCTGGTATCTCTGCTTGTTAGCTTGGCTTTTACTTCAGTTGTACCCAAGTAAGAGAATATAATTTTTAAAATAAATTAATACTTAATAATATATCAAAATTAGATTTATATTCCCAAACTGAAGCTTGGTAGTACTCTGATTTTACTAAGTGTAGGTTTAGGATATGAAAAAAGTATAGAACTCTGATTTCAGGAATGATAATGTGACAATAGAAAGTTTCTCAGAAAAAGTTTGACTTAAGATGTCTTCTGGATATAGTTATCAGCCTGTTAAAGGGTGATTTAAAATTTAATTTGAAGCAAGATTTTATTATTCCAGAAAAATTCTAGAAGTTACATATTAAATGCTGAGTGTGTTCTTAGTTGGCTGAGATGGATGGCAAGGAGACCACTGTTGGAACACAGACTTTTGGTAAGTGGGTATGGTACCCTGTCTTAGCTACTTTTCTTTTGTTACTGGGGCAAAATAACTGACACACAAAACTAAGGAAAAAAAGGTTTATTTAGCTCATAGGTTGTGGAGGTTTTAGTCCATACGGGGCTGGCTCCAAGTCAAGGTGGCACATTTCAGAGGGCAGCAGTTCATGATGGGGAAACAGCAAAAGCAACAAAAGCCAAAAAGGGAGTCATGCAGGAGAAGACTGTGTCCCATACATTGTATGCAAGCTGCCCGCCATAGGATGGGTGGAGCACTCACACCCAGAATCCCAGCATTGAACCATGAATCAATCACAAACTCTAGAAGCCTTGCTGCCTGGCTGTGTGAGGCTTTGGCGGATATCTAGACACAACATAACATTCCCCAACTCCCAAATCTAGAACCTTTCATTTGGTTCCTTATGCTTGAAGTGGCCTCGCCATTCAGGAGGGTCATCCCTGATCTAAGCCCACCCTGGTCTTTGTCTTCTCATGAACAGGTTTGATCCAGACACAAGATCAATAGGACAGGAGGAAAACTATTGCCAAGAACTTCTGGGAGGGTGCTTCTAGGCTTTGAGAAATAACACCAGATACTATGTCAGAGAAAGTGCTCGGAGCCACTGTTATCCTCTTACACAGTGAAGGAAACAGATTCAAAGCCTGAAACCACCATGAGGAAGAAGTTAGACAAGGAAGAATGTGGGATAGGGTTTTTAATACCACTGAGCCCCTGAATTAATCTTCAAACCTCCTATATGAATTGGAGTAGATCAGCGGAAGGATCACTGAAAATGACAGAGAATAGGATTTATTATAAGGCTTCCACCTTAACACAAGAGTGAGTGCCAGGCCTGATGTGGATAGGCACCAGTGCACCAGTGTCAGGAAGGAGAAAAGGCTATGGAGTGAGAAGAGCGAGGGTGACAAGTAAGAACAATCTGGATCTGCCATTCACAGCCTCTGCGGCGATGCTGCACGTGTCCTTCAGGAGAAGCTGGTCCAGGCTGCCTGGAAGCTATGCACATCTGGCCAGCATTTTGCAAGGCCACAGGACACGTGATAAGAGGAAGAGCTACAGACCCCGGGGCCTAGCATTCCAGAGGCCTACTTCTGATCTATGCTAGATCATCTTTTTGCCCTGGGTACTACCTTTGGGTTGTCACAGTGCCTAGGGACATATAATGACCTTATACATATAAAATAGATATACCTTTACTTACATGAGCCTACTTTAACTACCTACAATTTTTTCCTGTGACCAAATTTACCAGAACGATGCAAGAAGGGGCTCTGGGACATGTTCCTCCTGCCGAGCTACCTGCCCAAGTGTAAAGTCTGCATTACAACCTGCCACTGAAGGGGTTGCTGGGTAAACCGTTGCCTTGTAGGTTAAATTCCCTGCACCATCTGGCTTATAAGGTGTGTATTAGGACGGTTTTGCTTAAGGTTCAAAGTATTGATGTGACTACGTTTACATCCATTTTCATGGCTAAAAACATAGGTTTACGAATGTAGTAATGAATTAGGCCAAGTTATCTAACTTCAGTGATAATCATTTACCAATAGGCCCTAGTCCCTGTGGAGCATCATTGGTATGAGGATATTTTCCATGAGTCCTATGCACTATATTTTAACATAAGAATTGAAAATTTCTTGCATCTATTTAATCTTCAATATTAATTGCTAGAAGGTAATTTTCTTGCAGCTGAGCATCAAAAAACTTCCATTAACCTTGGAAGCAATGAGGTTCTCTTTCATTTGTACATGTTTCTAATCATTTTATTTTAATTGCTTTTCTCATCATGAAAATACAAATTTTGAATTGCTTGTTTCAAAGGCTCTAAAGGTTTTGGCCATAACATGGAATCTTCTTTTGACTCCAGTCATTGTCCTTTATAAGAAGCAGCTGCTTACTCATCAGGAACCTGAAAAACAAAATGTGAAATGTGTTCTGTGAAATTCCAGTGACATTCACCAGGAGAGTGTATGTCCAGCCCTATGCCAAGGCCCTTCCAGAAATAAACATGCTTGAGCCAACTCTTTTTAGCTTCAAAGGGAGGCAGGGAATTGAGGGGGTTATCTGCAGCACAGAAAGAAGGCCCTGGTAATTCACCCTAAAAGCATACTTCGTCCTTCTTGGCTTTCTGCCTCCCTTCCTCCTGGAAGGAAAAAGATTCTGCAGCTGCCCACCAGTTTATACCATAGCCCCAACACGCAATGTAATCAAAAAACCTCCTCCTCGAGACTGTTGAGAATTTTCAGTTTTTTCTTCTGTGAATGGGAAACAATTAATCACTGCACTGCCAAGGGAGGTCTTCTATTCATCCTTGCCTCCCAGAAGCAATTTCAGCTTTGCCCATTTAGTAACTATGACAAAGTCCAATGTATGGCATCTGTTTTGAAGACCCTTCACCCTCCTGCAGCTGAAAATTCAGGAATCTGGGAGGCATGTCCAAGTCCGTTGTATGGGTCCCACAAGAGATCCAAAGCCTAGTGCTGCTAAACCCTTCACAAACTGGGCCTGCATTCAAACTTCACTACAGGCCCTCACTTGGGTCGTATCCCTGAAGCAGCTCTTCAGCCTTCATAAAGAAACTCAGGAGCTGCCAATGTCTTTGTCTTTTCATATTTAGACCTAAGTACAGTGATACCTCAGTACTCATTATTAATTGGTTCTAGAAGGCATGATGAGTACCAAAAATGACAAATACAAAATAAATTGCCTTAGCTGGTAAAGGCAGTCATAAGGCAATCAATCAACAAGTCCTAGCTCATGTTTCAAGTACCGAACAAATGACAAAAACCAGAATGAAATTTTCATGTCAAAATGTGTCACGAGGACACATTCTACTCAGGTGTCAACACCCAAATTTGATAAATTTCAAACAGGCAAGTGCCAAGTTATGACTACACATATTTAATGTAATCAACTTTTAATTTCTTCAATAAATCAATCTGACCTCCTTCAAAGTAGTATTTATCATTGCAACTCAATAAATTTAACCTTCCAAGGCAACTAGTAGTTTATTTATCATAAATAAGAGGACTCAACATGCTCTAAAATTTTAACAGTGGAAAGATGACACCTGTCTATTGTGGAAAGTGTGTTGAGTTCTTTACAAGAATCCCATGAATAGGCACTAAATCACACTAATCATTTTCTTTTAACTCACTATGTCTAAAGTCAAACCTCCTTTAAAAACTATGTCCCTGAGAAAAATCTCAGAAAGCTTAGGCTCCCCTGCCCCCACCAAACACTCACTTCAGAAGTTCTTTGATGTTCTTCCACTTTGCCCATAAAATTGTGATATTAAATTCTATCACTGGTACATAATAAACATTCAGTGAAACATGGAGACATAGAAACATTCTTTATGCTTGGTGCAGAATCAAGAATAAAAAGCAGAGACATAGGAAACAGGACTCTTGACTCTGTTCTCCTTCATTTCCTCAGTTTTAAACATCATTTCCCTAAGTTTCCTTATTGACATGGTATGAAGTCATTTACTTATCTATCATGGAAAATACTCACTCCGGCTCACTGGTAGATCCATTTGTGCCTCTAAAATCACCTATGTTCATGGACTATTGAATATTCTACACAAATGAATATCTGAAGTCCAGAGCCTTCATGTTAACCTGGAAATCAATCTCTCTCTCTCTCTCTCTCTCTCTCTATATATATATATATATATATATATATATATATATCCATCCTTGAATTCTTAACATTTTTGTACTACATGGACAGGTAGAATTCAGTAAATAGGGAAAGATTTTATTTTGTTGTTTTTATAAAAGAATTTTAAAGAGAAAAACACGAAATATCTGATTACACTGATTTATGTAATGATCTAAATCGATAAGCTATAAGAATTACAACAAAGTTGAATGCTTACTGTACCTTTCTTCCAAACTCTCTTCCTTTAATTTTGAGCTTATTGAGTTGAGATTCTGCTGCCTCTGCCCTGTCTTTCACTTCATTCAGCTCATGTTGCTGCTTCTTATATTTGGAAAGATATTGATTGGCTTGTGTCTCCTATAAAAATGAGAAATAAGAAAAAGAAGCAAATTGACAGACCTCCATGGAAGTTTCTTCTCTGACAAGAGAAAGTTGAAAAATGTGAAAGGAATATAAGCTTCCGAGTATTGAGTGGAACTTCCTACTTGGCTCTAAGACATAAGGATTGAGACTTTCTAGCAAGCACAAAGATCCAGTTTTATAACTGTGGTTGCTTGAAGATTCAGAACCCACAGGGCACTTTCTACCAAATGCATGCAGTACTGCATTCACAGACTTGCTTTGTGGTACAATGAACACAGTTGTTTGTGTTTTATAAATCACAGTTCAATGTACTATTCTAAGTAGAGGAAGCTGGACTTTAATATTACAAGTCAATAAATACTAGATGTAGTAATGTTTGCAGCAAAGTAATACAACTATTCAACTTAAAACCCCTGAAAATATTATTACCCATAAACCAATATATGGCTCTTAATAATTATGATCCATGTTACTACGAATACTAAACCAAAGATGGTATGTACAGCTCAAGTATACTGGCCTTGTCCACAACACAACCATGTACAGTATTATCAGAGAAAAGTACTATGAGCTGGGTTTATGTTCATAGAAGGTTTTAGGGGTGAGAGAGGGCCTTGAGTGAAACCCTGCAAAAAAACTTCCCATCGCTGTACAAACCCCAGCTCCCTGCTCTTATCAGACTCCTTCCTTCTTTCCTTCCTTCCTTCCTTCCTTCCTTCCTTCCTTCCTTCCTTCCTTCCTTTCGAGGTACTGGGTATTGAACTCAGGACCTTGTGCTTGCCAGGCAAGTACTTATTCTACTGAGCTATCTCCCCAGCTCCTCAGGCTCATATCTTGTAGTACACATGTTTGCACATAACCACAGCTTGATGGAGGGAGTTCTTGCTCCTGGAGGGAAAAGCAGCACAAATTCTCCCTGAGCAACAATCCATGCAAGAAAAACCAGAACATGGGCCAACATTCATCCCAGCAGGCCCTCTCCAATGAACTAGCCACCTAGCTAAGGCTTAAATAAATGAGGCCTCTGGTGTGGAGGCCTGCCAGGCCCTCCTGAAGCAGGGGCAGGACAACCTGTCAAGTGTGAAACAGACTGAAAAGAAGTGGGCTGAACAGTACCTGAAAATCATGGGGAAAGTGCTAGATCAAGGTGAGGACTTCCCAGCAACAGAGATGTCTCGAATCACAAAGCTGATTGAGAAGAATAAGATGAGTGATGGGAAGAAAGAGGAGCTCCAGAAGAGCTTAAACATCCTAACTGCCTTCCAGAAGAAGGGGGCGGAGAAGGAGGAACTGTGAAAAACCACTCTGGAGTGTGCCAGGGTTCGCTGGGGTAGGGAAAAGGGGAGAATTACCTGCTTGCTGCAAGACTTGGGGGATATAAAGGGGAGTGGAAAAGCTGGTACTATCTTGTACAGCAATTAACCACTAAGAAGAATATATGCAGTGTGCTATTTGTTGAAACTGTACTTCCGATTTGATTTGAAACTGTCTCATTGCTGTTTATCAATAAAATTTTCAAATATAAAAAAAACAACAAAAAAACTGGTACCAAACCAGAAATCTGAGCCCTGAATATGCCTGGACATGGATGCTGATGTGACCATGCTTAGGACACCTGGAGAGCCAGTCTGGAACAGCTGGAGCATTTAACGATTAGTGAAGGAATCAGTGCTATACAGAGGCAGATACTGCCTAGGTCCTTGACAAGTATAATTCTGATCCAAATAAAGTTTCAGTGTTTTGGTTAAAAAAATAAATAAATGAGGCCCAGAAACTTCACGGTTAACGCTGCACTCACCGCTGCCTCCACTTGGTGCTTGTAGCTTTGTACTTTCAGCTGAAGTTTATCTATCACAGTCTGCATCCGGCTCAGAGCTTTTTTGTCTTCCTCTGCCTAAAACAATAGACTCAAATGTGAGGGTGATTTGAAAGACCCAGCAGTCTATATTGGGTGTAGACTTAAGTGAGGAAATAAGGGTTGAGCATTTTACTAAACAACATCTGAGAATTATACAATGGTTGAGTCTGTTCATCCCAAATTGTAAGAAATCAATGAACACAGTTCTGATGTGTCATAGGAAGCCATCAGCTTTTATTGGAGTGGAAGTTAAATATAGCTAAATGAGTCTCCATCTCGATGAAGCTTTACCTGCCTGAGGTGTCAAACCAGGAATGAAGCATATTACTACAAGTCATATATGCCAAACAGAAAACCACCCGCCTCTCAACCAAATCAACTCGTCCCTTGAATTTTCTAATTGATTCATCATCTTAGGATAATGGAATTACAGAAAAGATGACTTTTTGAGATTGTTTCATGTGCATCAACAAAGCAATATTTAATAAGCTGTGGGGACGTTGGTCTGGCCATTCTTATGTCCTCAATTACAGTTCAGCCTTTGGCTAAAAAACGGCAATCTTGTGAGCTTCCCTAACTGTGTTCCATGGAGCTTTTGCTATTCTGGGAAGAGGGGAGAGGTGAGCAAGTAGACAGTACTCCTCCATGCCTTTTCTCCTACAACCTTTTAATTGCAAAATTTCCATTTCAGAGCTGTTGAACATATCCAAGGAAGAAACTATTTCAGCTCCATGAAGACTGAAAAACAGATTTAATCAAGACATAAGCTGGAACACAGTTTATTTTTATTGGCTCCATTTACCTCTTCTATTGAGTATAAACTCATTTGGTGACAGACATAGTGGATACTAATTATCCCTCAAAGACATTAAAGGCAAGTGTTAAAGATTCAGGTAGTAGAACAGCACTATGAAAATTCAATATGGCCTTTACAAGGTGAGACCTAATAAGTAGATAAAGTGAGAGCCACAGTAAGGCTAATTTATTATTGAAGAAGAGAAAATATTTTATATATTTAAATACTTTGTTTACAAAGTTTCCAATAGTGTACAGGACAACTTAGACTTTTAACTTCATTCACTGACTCAGCTAGAGCAGCTGTTAGCCCCACCAGCTCCATTCATGGCAAAAGCCCTGTGCAAGTATAACACTATCTTTTATGCCATCTTTTCCAGTTACTCTTCCTATGTTTAGGTATAGTTACATACATAAATATTTACCATGGTGATACGAACGCCCACAGTATTCAGTGTAATAATGTGCTATACAGACTTGTACTCTAGGAATATACAGGTTCTGCTTCATACCCTAGGTCACTAGTAGGCTACAGCATTGAGATTTGTGCAGTTACATTGTGTGGTCTTTACCCCACTATGAAAATGGTTAACAGTGCATTTGTCACAATGGATACTTGTCCTAAAGCAGAAGGAGGGTGGGAGGGAGGGAGGGAGGGAGGGAGGGAGGGAGGACCAGCTGTGTGCCAAGACTATGCCAGCACTAGAGTGGAGAACAATAAATCACAATTGCTATCACTATTTCATCAGAAGGGAAGAAGGAGCAAAAAGAGAAAGTAAAAATGTAGCTGAAGAATTATACTGTATTAATCCCTTATAAGAGACATGCTCATCTCTTTTTAATTATTTCTTTTAGACCAGTAGAATCAACAGGCTAGATCCAGAAAGACTTAGAAAATATTTGCTATAACACTTGTTTTTTTCCACTTGGGAGGAGCAAGAGTCCTTAGAGACCCTGAGTGAACAACCAGAAAATAGGAGTGGAAATGTCCCCTGTTTCAGTTGGTCAACCTCCCACATAATGTGCTGGGCTGTGGCCATCTGAGCCTTCACCAGCCCCCTTAATTTACACTCAGCCTCTCATAGAAAGGCAGCTTTCTCAAAGACCTCCAAACTCTAGGTGTGAAAGCTAAGAATAGCATAAATAGTTTTTATTTCTAATTATGATGTACCCCCTCTGGAGAGGACCAGACTCAAATCAGGCAGCACAAGAGTCCCAGGAAGGTGAGTCTGTGTCTGCCACTGAGGGAGACCAGAGGATCAGAGTGCACTGTGAGGTCCCCAAAGGCCATGCAGCTCTGGCTGGAACACACCAAGAAACAACCACGCATACGGGAGCAAGCTCATGGAATACCTGGGAGTTCAGCTCTTTGATGCCCCTTTCCAGTCTTCGAGTTTCCTTCTGGGCCTCTGCACTGCGCCGCACCTCCCGGTCCAGCTCACTTTCCAGTTCACGAACCTGCAAGCAAACTCTGGTATCAGGCCTCATTTTGGCAGCAAGGCTGGCACCATATCTGCCAATGGGAGGTCAGATGAAATGGAGTAAAGGAGTCGAGGGAGGATGGTTTGCTTATTTTCTTTTCCTTCATTCTAGAGACTAAATAAGGCTCCATTGTGGGAAAACCCTAAAACCAAGTTAGTTGAACCTTGTGGGAAAATCCTTTCTAAAACCAAGTTAGTTGAACCTTGTATGAGCTCATAAAAGGACTGTTAAGACTCTAAAGGAAGTGCAAGGCCAACACATGCAGGGGGACAGCTTCCCCTCTTGTATTACTTGTATTACACTCACACATGTGTTTGTTTAGGAATATCTGTAAAGCAGAGAGACTAATCTGTGGGTGGCAGATTTGCACCCTCAGCCAATGCATCCATTCATCTTGAGCATCTTTCTCCAAGTTCAGCCCAGACTCTCTAAGAAAATTAGACCCCAGTGCTCTCACACACATCACCCTCACAGCCTTATACCCCTGCTTCCTGGGAGAGCTATGATAGGAACTGCCTATGGCATTATAGTCACACAAACAAGATTAACTACTGCACACCATGCCACAGTGCAAGGCATAAAGCAGGAAATAGACACTTGCCTATTCCCTGTATGAGCATATGTTCTCATAAGAGCAACAGAGAAACCAAGCAAACTATAGATTATATTTAATGGTGTCCAAGGCCAGGAGAGATATGGGCAAAAAGGGGTAAGGCGTCTGTGAGGAAAGGGCGTAAGCTGCCCCCCTTGCTGAGGGCTTCTAGAGACTAGCCCTCATCCCTGCCTTCTCCACTCCAAGCCAGCTTCCCCAAGAGGCTGCCCTGTCACCATGCTAACACTGCACAGCTGAATGCCTGTGCCACTGACACTCCTTCTCACTGTCCTCACCTCCACTGCAATTTAAGCCAGACCCTCCTTGTGATCCAGAGAGGGCAGCAAGACCGGGATGGTCAGTAGGTACACAGAACCCTGTGGATGAGCCCACTGTTCTGGACTCTGGGGCAACAGGTGCTTAATCCACAGTTGTCAGGACGTGAGCTAACACAGACTCCCTCTTTTATTTTCTAAAAGACTTTTAGGGAATTTTTTGCTTTGTTTTGTTTCCATAGGTGATTAAGACACACAAAGGTAGAAAACAGGTTTAGCAAAGCAAATGGTAGTTTTTATGTAATGCTAAGAGGTGATAGTAGCTGCTAGACATTTGCATGTGTCTCCCAAATGTTCATTTGTTCAAACTTAGTTTCTATTAATGTCTTGCAAACTTAATTCCAAAATTCATGTTAATGATACTTAGAGAGGAGGTCTTTGGGAAGAAGATAATCAGTATTAGATGCATTCACAGGTCCAAAGCCTGAATGATGGCATTAGTGTACTTAAAAGGAGAGGAAAAAAGACTCCTGATAGCATTCTTGCTGTCTCACCTTGTGATACCCATGTCCTGTTATGATGCAGGCCAAGACCCACACTAGAACATGCTAATACCAACGCCACACTCTTAAACTTCTTAGCCTATAGAACCATAAGCCAAATAAACTTTGTTTATAAATTACCCAGTCTCAAGTACTTTGTTATTATACCAAAAAATGATTAAAACAATGGTTTTGTAATTATACTTTTCAAAAGGTTAACCGTAACTCCTTAATATCATATCATGTATAGTAGCCGACTGTTATTGAGTTGTCACGGGTTCTACAACATAACAAGAGACAAAGAGCAACTGAAATAAAACAGAGTTCTATACACTTAAATTGGAGTTGGACATACCAGTAGTATCCATATATTTTTAAGGAAATAGGGATTTTGCAAGTTCTCTGAATTTATGCTCCCTTTAAAATATCATCTTTGTCATTGTTAGGACAAAATACCTGATCCCGATGTCCTAAAGAAGGAGAAGCTTATTTTAACTTATGGTTTCAGCTCAGGGTTGCCTGGGTCCAATGCAGAACCATCGTGGCAGAAGGCAGGCAGAACAACATTGTTCATTTCAAGGTCTCCAGAAGGCAGAACATGGGATGAGCATCCATAAGAGTGGTGCCCTCCACAGGTGTGCCCCAGGACCCGCCTCCTCCAGCCCACCACCTAGCAGGAAGCTATGCCTCATCCACAGGTCAGCCCACAGATGAGCTTAGCACCCCTGTGATGCAGCTGCCTTCCAAAAGCCCCACCTCTGGCCACACAACACCTTAGTTCTAAACCATAAAATCATATATGTTGTTGGATAAACACACTCATCTTAATGCTAGTAGAAATGAGATGATATTTTGGAATGATAAATGCGGTTTGCCTCTCCCAAACACCAGTTTGGGTCCTTAAGATATATTCTATGAAAGCTATGCAGAAAAATATCTTATTTAAAAATTTAAAAGTCAGTGGGAATAATTCTGTGTGTGTTTTATTTCTCTAACTTGATATTGAGTTAGCTTCATTAGCTTCCATTGGTATTAAAATTTTAAGGATGACTGATTTTTTCTGATTGACTTAATATGTTCACGAAGGGGCCAGAAATTTGTATGTCTCCCTGCTAGGTGGCTCTGATTTGAATTCCATGGTCTAATGTTGAACAGCTAACTGCCAGTGGTTCAGGCTGTCCAAGGGGACAGGACAGTCCTGCATGTACCACTGGTGGTTCAAGTGGGCAGAAATGTGTTACTTATGTCTTAATTCTGAAGAATGTGAGTGACTTATATGATTTTGCAATCCAAATGCCTTTAAAGAGGTACATGTAGAAGGCTCAATTTCATCTTTGCACTCTCCTGAGGGTAGTCATTTTGTTAGCTTTTAATTGATGCTATCATTGTTTCTTGCTGACAGTGTGTGGAAATATGGAAATGTCATATTCCCTTCCTTTCTCGACCCAAGTGATATATATTCTCCATACTACCTCCATCTTTCACCACTGCCATGCTACGAAGTGTGCTTTCCAGGACAGGTGCCGGAACTCTTCCTCAATTCTTAATCATCGTAACTATATGTAGTTAGCGTATCCATTGTGTAGGTGAATGGTAAAGGTACAGTCATGCCTTACTTTCAGATTCCCCTTTGAGCCATCAAATCCCAGCCAAATATTCTTTTAACTTTTATAGTATCCATCACATGCCCTGTACATAGTCACTGAAATGGATCCAATAATTTTAAAATTCCTAGCATGATAGGTCTTCCCATGTGCTTTCAAGTTCCCTGAAGGCAGGTTCTACATCATTTCTGTCAGCTCTTGCTGAACCTGTCTGCAGTGAATCCTTCTGGATCATGGCTTTGTTTTCCTCCTTTCTCTTGCACTGAGGGAATAAGCATTTTCTACAGCGAAAATAACAGCAGCAAAGGTACAGAAGGAAGACAGCGAGGGAGTGTTGGGTACAATGGGTCACCCTCCTTGCAGAGAGTCCCCAGGTGGTGTTGAGAGAGGGAGGAGAAACATTCCCACTTAATAGGAAGGGGCAACGCATATTTCATCAAATCCAAGAAAAACCCTATTTGCCAGCTCAAAGTCAAGCAAAAATGAATGGCTGTATCAGGAGCAGGCGCTCTGAGTCAGACAGATCCAAGAATGTTAAAAGCAAAACAGTGATAAAGGCTGTCACTCGTGAAATTCCCTAACAGTAACCCTTGCATTGGGGATTGGCAAGGCCTTGCTATTACCCAGGTAAACTTTTACCCTAGATTCCAGTTTCTGGATTTGCTTTTTGTTCCCCAGCAGGGCAGTCTGTCCAGCTTCATCCAGCCTTTTTTGTAAGTCTTTAATTGTCTGCTCCATATTCTTTCTCATCCTTTCTAAGTGAGCATTGGTGTCTTGCTCCTTCTTCAGTTCCTCTGACATGTTTGCTGCCTGAAAAAGAGGAAAAGGGACTGACCCAGTGAAGAAGCCAATAGACCTTCACATTTCTGCCAATAAGCTTCAATTCCTGGTCTAGTTCGATACCACAGCTTTCCTCTGTGTATCCAACTCCCCTTTCCCATCATGCTCCTCCTAACAGCTCAGCCACCTTTATGTCTGTGAATGATAAAGAAATAAAGATAGCACTGCAGAAGACACTGGCTAAGCAGAGGTGTAAACAGACCAAAGATAGAGTACCATGTAATCATTATGATATAATATCTCTGTTTAAAGAAAGATGAGCTACTGCAGTGGTGGCTTTTAATTAACTAAAGTGGTAGCATATTATTTATTCCTGAATAAAGTGACTGGTCACATGTTACACCAGGAAATGTGTGAGACAGGGGCAATTAAAATCTTTTTCACAATGCACTTCTATAATTCTAGAATTCACTATGGTAAACACATTAAGGCTTCAAGAAATTGGCAGCAAAAGATATTTTCAGTGCCAATAGTTTGGCATGAGAAAGGTGAGTTGTAGAACATGTTACTTGCTTTGGTTAGATGTATAAGGGTTAGCTGTGGCATCTCAGTGAAATTATTAAGAAATGTTTCATAAATGATTTCTCAGTGTATGTCACTTAATAACAAAACCCTTCTAGCCACACTTTACTATCAGGTCAGAAATTTATATTTTGACTTTGTTGCACAAAGGCTGGTATATTAGGAAACCAGTGCTCAGAATGGTGATTTTGAGAGTGAAACCTTTAAGATATGAGGCATTATGGGAGATCCTCAGGTCAGCTGGGGATGTGTTCTCTGACAGGATTGTGAGACCCAAGTTTCTCTGTCTTTCTGTCTGACAGTATGACCTCTTCCACATGCACTGTCTGGTTTCTGCCTTTACTTGCCACGAGGCGCTCACCAGTGCCAAGATGATCTTGGCACCATGGCTTTAAGCCTCAGCAGTCTTGAGGTAAATAAACCTCCTTCTTTCTCAGCTTCAGCTATTTTATTGTAGAAACAACAACAACAACAACACACACACACACACACACACACACACACACACACACACCAGTCTGTGACAGAAAATGACTGAGGAATGGGACTGCTAATTGTACCTGAAAATAAGAAGGCAGTTTTCAAATTGGGTGACAAGCAGGAATTAGAAGAGCTTAAAAAATCAAGATACAGAGGGCTGGCCAAATAGCTCAGTGGATTAAAGCGCCTGCAAGCAGGTGCAAGGGCTGGGGGTTCAATCCCTGGGTCTGTTGTACCAGCCCTCCCCCTGGGGTGTGCTGAAATGACAACTGAAACTGGGCATGGTGGAGCATGCCTGTAATCCCAGCTGTAACAGACTGTAAACAGGCAGATCACTATGAGTCTGATCTAGTAATGAGACCTTGAATACCCTGTAGACACTTCCCTAAAATACAAAGAGAGAGAGAGAGAGAGAGAGAGAGAGAGAGAGAGAGAGAGACAGAGAGAGAGAGACAGAGAGAGAGAGACAGAGAGAGAGAGACAG